GGAGCAGCTGCCCAGGCCCCCAGCGCGCGCGCGCGCCCAGCCGCACGCCTGCGCTGCGCAGCGCGCCTGTGCTGCCCATCTCCCCTTCCAGCTCGCCTGCACTGCCCAGGCCCCCAGCGCGCGCAGAGCTGCTGTCCAGGCCCCCAGCGCGCGCAGCAGAGCTGCTGTCCAGGCCCCCAGCGCGCGCAGCAGAGCCGCTGTCCAGGCTCCCAACGCGCGCGCGCGCGCGCTGCGCAGCCGCGCGCCTGTGCTGCCCAGCCCGCCTTCGCTGCTGTGCAGCCGCGCGCCTGTGCTGCCCAGCCCGCCTTCGCTGCTGTCCAGCCGTCTCCCTGTGCAGCCCAAGCCATTCCTCGCGCCGCCCATCTCCCCTTCGCTGTCCAGCTTTCCAATTTCAGATCCACAGCTTTCTTCAACCTCCACCAATCCCTCTTCAATCGACATTGTTCACTTGAGAAGCTCAACTAGCAAGGAAAAAATCACACTCTTGAAAGGATTCAAGGAGAACACACACTTTGGCTTCAACAAAATGGGTAGGACTTGAGTTCTCAAAAATTTTCAAGAGGTGGGTGCTCAACCTTAAAAATAAGTGAAGTGGTAATTTGAAGAAGAAGACTATATTTATAGTCTAGGGTTTTTCAAAAAGAGGAAAAAAGCCCAAATAGACTAATATGGGCCCACTTCAAAATAAAGAAGGCAAATAGAAGATTATGGGCCCTCTTCAAAACAAAGTGGCCAAAAAGAAAGTTATAAGCCATTTTTCAAAACAAAAAGGCCAAACAAGATATTATGGGCCTTTTTTAAAATAAAAAGGGCAGAAACTTAAAAAAAAAAAAAAATGTATAATCAATGCCTCCTTCTCCAAGTCTCCTTGGACATGGGGCATTGGGGGGCAAATGATGGGTTAAGCCCAAGTAGTCCAATTTATGTATTAAAACCCAACCCCGGTTGAGGAGCCCAACCTCATCGTGAATCCACCAAGCCAAAGGAGCCCAAGACCGGTTAGACTTCTTGCTTAGCACGTCACCAAGAGGAAAGAACGGGAAGTTTATCTGCACCGCCCTAAGGAACCCAAGGCTGGCTAGACTTCTTGCTTAGCACGTCACAAAGAGGAAAGCACGGGAAGTTTATCTGCACCTCCTTAAGGAGCCCAAGGCTGGCTAGACTTCTCGCTTAGCACGTCACCAAGAGGAGAGCACGGGAAGTTTATCTGCAACCACCGAAGGAAGAAAACGGTCCAATCATTGACCACGTTTCATGAAGAGCTCCCCAACCTCTTCCTTCCGTGGAGGATAAGTCGCGATCTCCACCAAAGAGAATCTCTAAGCTGCGATAAAGAAGCCTTGAGGATATGTCATGATCTCCACAAGAATTATCTCTTAGCTACTATAAAATGACTCTAATCTGGGAGAGGAGGAAGACATGCTCCATCAGAGACTTACCAAAGACGAATCGACTTCCGAAGATTACTATTTTTCTTTGATTCTCCATTCTCCCTCTCAAAGCTTGTATCTCCATTCTCCATACCTTTGAATCAATAAAATACCCGGCGACTGAAGCCATTGAAGAGTGGACGTAGGTCGAATTGACCGAACCACTATAGATTGTGTCTTCTTTTAATTCCTTCGTTGATTTTATTGCATTTATTATCTATACTTGACAGGTGGTGTGCAAAACCATTTTTGTGCATAATCAGTTTCTTAAATGGATTCTTAAACAATTGCAAAAATCATGACAAGTGAAGATTCTTAAACAATTGCAAAATCATAACAAGTTTCACCCAATCAAAGATGACTAAAAAGAAAAAAAAACTCGCCATACCTTAAGTTCGGAGCTTCATACCCTGCAAAACATTTCAACTCAACAAAGTAATTAAACTCTTGAATAAGCCATCACACTAAAAATCAAATAAAGGAGCATTGCCAATTAGGATCCCACTAATCAAGGGTGTTGGGAGAGATGGAAGATAAAGACCCAACTTTTGGGATCCAAATCCTCTCCATTATATCACCTATTGTGTATGGACCTAAATTTGTTTGTAAATTCAATCAATAATAATGGAATAAAAAAATTGTGCAGTCCAAGTGTAGATAGAAAAAGTGATGTTGAGTACCTACATACAAACTGCTCCTGTCTAGCGAACAAAACTACAACTTTCTACTGAGTAATCTGAAATACACAATACCAAATGAATATGAAATACATAATACCAAACAAAATCCAAAAACATGATGGAATCAGGATACCATAGCAGAGAAAGGGAGAAGGACTTCATCATACTAGAATCAATATTTAAAGAATTGATGTAAAGAGAGGCCTAGAGGAAGAGGGGGAAGTTGAACATAGGTGGGTGTCTGTTTTTTTTACCTAGTAGTGAATGTGTAGAGAAGAGAGAGAGGGAGAAAGAGGGGAGTGTCTGTTCATTTTTTTCCTGGGTAATGAATGCGCACGAGAGAGAGAGAGAGAGAGAGAGAGAGAGTAACAGCAGGAGAATATCTCTTTTTTTCCCAAGTACTGAATGTGCATATGTGTGTGTACGTGTGTGTGTGTGAGAGAGAGAGAGAGAGGAGAGGTGAAGAAAGGAATTACGGGGATAAAGATGTCCAATTAATTTTGAAGGATAAGGATATGGACAAAATAATAATATTTTTGTAAGTTAAAATTGGAAAAAAATATTTTTTAAGTATTCTGACATTTAAAATAGTATAAATAGATAGATAGACTCAATTACTACTTAAGTTTTGTTAACTGTTCCAAATCATGTACTGTCTCCATTTCTTCCAAGAAGATTTTTAGCTGACTAATAAATTTTTGGGTAAATTATATAGATACCCCTTGATATTTTAATTTATTATATGGACACCCTGACATTTCACAAATGACACTCAGACCCTTTCACATTTAAAATTTGTTACATGTAGGCCCCCTATATTTGACAGACGTTAGACATACTTACGGAATATAATGACATCAGCTAAAAAATCTATTATAATTTCAATAATACCCCCATCTGGTGAATTTCATAATCTATCAAAGTTAATATTAGAATTTTTTGTTTATTAAAAAAAATATTAATGAATATTCCATTTATCAATCTAGATTATTAATAATATTCTATTTATCAATTTTTTTTTTCGAAAGATAAAGTGTATTAAATAAAACAGAAATATCAAAGATAATCACCCCCAAAATGTACAATAAAATCACGTGGGACTCAAAGACAAACATCAAATCCAAAAAGTCAAGATTTAAAAACACAATTCTGAAAGAGCTGCTCTAAGTAAGGGTATCTCCCCTAGAAATGTTGACAAGAGTACAATGGTAAACAAAAACAAAGCATGATCTCAATTCATCCAACAAGATAGCAGATGCCTTGAGCAAGAGAACTATTTATTAATTCAGATTTACCCCAAATTCATTATTAACATCATCACAATTAACTACCACCCATTGCCGCCTCTATACCACGGAAATCACCACCGAACTTCTTTGAAAATCACCTCTACCACCACCTCCTCTCTCTCTCTCTCTCTCGTACACACAAAGCACCACCACTGCCCCCTAACGGAGTAACCCATCATCGGTCCACCACCACCATCTTTACTTTCTCCTCCACAACAACACAACACACACATAACCATCACAGTACAACAACCCCACCACATTCTTCTCCTTCACCTCCATTTCTAACTCCTCAACCACACCACACACACAAACCGAACAACCACTAGTAAAATCGAACCCCAAAACATCCAAGCAGATTTTTTAAGGTTCAGATCTTTTTGATTTCTTAGATCTTCACATCAGATCCTTTTGATTTCTCAAATTTGGATGGGGGTGGCTACTGGAGGGTGTTGCAGTGGTGGGGGAAGGGCTAGCAATCTTCTATAATTTTGGGCTGGTTCTTTGCTTTGGGCAATATATATACAAAAAAAGAGAGAGAAAATCGACGATTTCGACCTAGTTCTTTGCCTTGAGGATATGAGAGAGTGAGTGAGAGAGAGAGTCAGAGAGAAGGTGTTAATGGTCAAGGTGCAGAGAAGACGACGAAGACGTTAGGTATTGAGTTTGGGGTTTGGGTTTGAGATTGTGTTAAACGGAGGGGCAAAATAGTCTTTTTATCAAGGCCGTTAAGTCCGTCTAACTATTGGGGTTTTAGTGTAATTTTTTAAGTGTGAGGGGGTATCCGTATAATAAAACTAAAAGTCAGGAGGTGTGAGTGTAATTTATTCTAAATTTTTATAGCGGAGAAAAAAATTACCACTTAAATTAGCTAACTGTCCCTAATCATGCACTGCCTCCATTTCTTCTAAGATGTTTTTTGACTGACTAATAGATTTTTATAGTTGGAGTTCAAATTACTATTAAGCTACATAACGAATTTTCTAGCTATGGAGGTTACTCCTCCTGAGCACAGTCACCGTAAATTTTATGTCAATTATCCATGCATAGCATAGGTTAATTATAAGAAAAATATTATTTGGACTTAATGATGTACAATCAATGACTTTTAACTCTAATATTTTTTCCACAATGATTATACCAGGAGGTATTAAAGGGAGAAACTTATAGTGTCTAAATTTATTTACCAAATCTTATATTTTAAATAATATATTAAAATTCGATACATTGAATGTTTGATCGAGTCAGTGAAGCCTCTATTCAACCATTACACTGATTTAAGATATAAAATTTCATAAGCATAGCATTGCTACTGGCCCGACCCAATGAAACCAACAAAAACCGTTTTCCAGAGTTCCCTTAAACTGCAAGACATGACCGTTATCGTTGTAGCACCTTTTCGTTCAACTTGGAGTCCAAGTAACGAACTCTAGTACCTTCGAAATCCTTAATCCAAGTTCTTTTAGGATTTCCGTATAGCCATTCTATATATAAGTGTTACTGAAACCCTAATTCCTCAGATATTCACTTCTACATAATCAAAAACCAAATTGCCAGTAAAACAGAGAGAGAGAGGGTTTCTTGTGAAGAAAACATCCAACATGTCTAAGCGAAAGCATGAAGAACTTGAGCAGCCGGGTCTATATGGCCATGGAAGGAAGTGGTTCAGAGGTCCGATGATCGGAAAAGGAAGTTCTGGGTCAGTTTATTTGGCCACTTCGAAGGAACCAAAGTCGAGACTCACCCACTTTCCTGCACAGATGGCCGTTAAGTCGGCCGAGATTTCCGACTCCTGTACACTTCAGAAGGAGAGAATGGTCCTTTCAAATCTCCAAGGATGTCCATATGTCCGCTGCTGCTACGGTGAAGAGATTACTTACGGCGAGAGAGGTGAGATGGTTTATAACCTCTTGTTGGAGTACGGTTCCGCCGGAACCCTAGCCGATATGATTAAGAAAACAGGCAGGACAGGATTGCCTGAATCCGACGTCCAGCGCTACACAAGGTATATTGTTCTGGGTCTCCAATCTATTCATAGATATGGCTATGTTCTTAGAGATTTAAAGCCAGAAAATATCATACTTTTTCCTATTACTTCTGCTTCGAATAGCACTAAGTATGTGGTGAAGATTGGTGATTATGGATCGGCAAAGAAGGTTATGAGTATGAAAAAGAGGAGATTAAACCCATACCTGAGAGGAAATATCAAGTATTTGTCACCAGAGGTCGTTTTTGATGGAAAACAAGTGCCTCCAGGTGATATTTGGGCTCTGGGTTGTTTGGTGGTTGAGATGCTAACTGGGAAGTCTTTATGGGACGGGAAAAAAGATAAAGAGATTGAGGATATTCTCTATGAAATAGGTGAGGGACATGGGCTGATCATGTTTGAGGGTAAGTTATCTAGAAAAGCAAAGGATTTTTTGAAGGGTTGTTTGGCAATGAAAATCAGAAACAGATTGAGTGCAGAGATGCTACTGGATCATCCATTTTTACAAGGATTGGATGATTAAGATGGAGAGGTTGATGAAATAGAAAAAGTTTCAGATGAAGAAGGGGTTGACTCATCATTGATACTATTATTTTCTGAATGTGATGACAGTGAGAGTGATTGTTCATCAGATGATTCAAGTTTCATATCTGAAGAAGATTGGATTACGACAGATATCACTGAATCCAACAAATTAACTCAGATATCTCCTCTAAGTGGAATGCAACAGAAGATTATACTTCCAGCAGGAGTTTAGCCAAGATGGTTTCTGAAATCTCACTGAGTTATTTGCAAATTTTTCTTTGAATTCTTATATCATAATTGTATATAGTTCCAGGTGATAATAGATATAGTAAATTCTCTGGTTAGATATATTAAGTTTGTATGTCTGAGAGTTGAATGATTGACCATAATTGAAAAGTTAGTTAGTTAGTTATTAGTTTGTTTCTGGTTTTTTTATTTAGTTGCTTGGCATCTAGCAATCTCTTTTTGATCTCGTCTCAATGGATAGAAGCAAGATGATACAATTAGATATACTTAGACTCTTCTTCATACTTAAACATGAGCAATGCCATTAGGACTTAATTTATTAGTCTAACTAATGGATTAACCATGAGCCCCATCAAATAATAAAACTTGATAAATAGAATAGATTTTTAGGTCTAATTGTCATTATTCCTTAAACATTTATCAACAGGGGTCAAAAACTATATGCATGGTGTACCAAGAAAGAGAAAACAAATAGGGTACTTATACTATAATTTTTTACAAACCATTGTCCCATGGATAACAATAATTATCTTGAAAGTGTTGTATAATAAACTTTGTCATCAGTAATATCGATTGACAGTCTTCAGTTTTATAATTTACTTAAAAACAATTTTTTAAACATTATCTTTAAAATATTAAAATAACTAAGTCCTTATGCCAAAATTCAAAAAGTAAGCATAGAAATACTTTTTTTTTTTTTTCCTTCTCAGCAACATAGTAAGAAAAGTTGCATAAACAGGGAGACGGTCAAATGCAGTAAACTAGAGACCAATAGCACGCCAATGGCGACAGTTTCATACTCAAATCAAGACCACAGAACAAAAAAAAGTTATAAATGTGATAAGAAAAATTGCAGAAAAGCCTATCATAAAAAGTACTAACACATACAATTACAACCTAATCGGAGCAAACCCAAAATTAGTTTAAGTGGTAACAGTGACGAAATATAAATTCAGACATCTTGAGTTTGAATTTTGCTAACTCTATAAATAATTTATTCCTCATGAATACCCTAGTGCTAACGGAGATGATCTGCTTTTAACAAAACTAGAGAAGAGATTAGTTAAGGTATGCGTAAGTTGGTCCAAATAACTTTGACTATTGAACAAAAAAAATAAAACCTAATCGTAGCTCATGTTTTCAAAAAACAAAATACAATGAAAACAAGAAACTAACAAGTAATAGACTATGAAAGCAATAAATTGAGGATGGGTGAGGATCCCCTCGATTATCTATTAACTAGCTGATCTGGGATTCCTCCTTAATCTGTACAGATAACTTGAATAAAAATATATTCATCGTAGGTATCCTGGTTTCTCTGGGTCAAGTTTTTCCTCAAGTTATTCTTAAGATTAATTCTTGTCGTATCCAGGATGAGCAGATTATATGTTGTGAATAAAATGATTGGTCGTATGCTCTAAAAAGACGAAAAGGTTACTTAATTGTGAGTTGAACGTTATGATTTTGAGCGACAATTTAGCCTCTCCACAATCCTATCTAATGTGGATGGCTGGGAAAGTAAGATGCATAAAGATGACTTGAAAGAACATTTCTCTAACAACATTTTGTATTTTAACTATTCAAAAGTACATTTTTTCTATTTTAACTATTCACTTTTTCAATACATACTCTAACAGATTTTTTATATTTTAACTATTTCTTTTAAATATTATTTCTTATATCTTTATCTTTGTTGGGACTATTATAGGGAAAAAGAGAAAAAAGGAAGGAAAGACAAAGATTGAACAAGAAAGGTAATAAATGACATGAGGATAAAGAATATATTATAAATTATTTATACATAATACTAGAGTGATGCTCTAAATATAGAGCATCACTGTAGCAAAAATATATTTTACCTTACTCTAAACATTTCTGTTTGAGCATATTTTTTGTTTTTGAATAATGAAATTTTAACTATTTTAGAATTTTAGCCATTCTTTTTAGATACTCTTAAATCGATAATATTAATAAGAATTTATCGGCTTTTGTTTGAAAAGTTGTTGAGATTTGCAACAACAATTCTTCAAAGCTTGACGGCATCGATAATATCAATGCAGTCAAGCTTTGAAGAAAAGAATGCCAAACAAATGAAATATGCAAGAATATTTATTATTTTTATTTTTCTGATATACAAAGGCACAGGGAGGAGATTCGAAATCGAAACAATCACTAGCTAGTGCACCAACATAAGTGGTTAGCCACTCGGGTAGACCCTAGGCTGAAATATGTGAGAAATTGAGCAACTTTTTTTTTTTTTTTCAGTAAGTTAAATTGAGCAACCTTATTTTATAATTCACACAATCTGCACCCTCTTAGTTTTAAATTTCATTTATTTAAGATAAGTTTAATCATTGGTTATTAAATTTTATTGAGTCAAATTAGTTAACATTGTCGACTTTACTGGTATCAAATGATCAGATTTAAAGAATTTAATGGTAAATGAATTAATTTCACCAATAAAAATTAAGGACTTGATTATGGCACCATTTAAAAATAAGGGGAAAACATTTTATAACCAAACACAACCCTGCCCAGTTATATCAGAAGAGGTTTGAGCCCGATCCAACAAAACCCATTTTCCAAAGTTCCCTTAAACGGCAAGAAATATGACCGTTATCTTTCTAACACAATTTCCTAAGGTCTGTTGGGTTAGAAAAAAAAATAATAGAAAGTAAAAATGATAAAAAACGAAGTGCAAAAAAAAAAAATAATAATAGAAAATATATTTTCATGTATGTACTTGATTAGAGTGAAAAAATTATGTGAAAATTTTAAAAAAATTTCATTTTATTATTTGAAAGAAAGTAAAGTTATAAGAAATTTTTTTCAATTGTCTAAATTATCCATAATTATATTAAATCGGTTTAAAAAAGAAAAAAAATATATAATTATAATTAAAAGTTAAAAAAATTTTAAAAAGTGACTCGAAACTTAATTCTAAGACAATCACGAATACAAAGGTCTTTGGGCTAAATTATAGATTAATCAAATTTATACCAAAATTTTTTAAAAATTAATAACCAATAAAACATTTTAAGAAAAATAAAGGTAAATATGAAAAGTTAGTTATATGTCCCATATTTCTTGCATCTAACTAACTGATAATTAATTTTTAAAATATTCTACGCGAACCCATGTCCGGTTAGAAGTATCATTTCCAAACAAAAACCTAATCTAACTACTTTTAGGATTGCTATCTAAACGAACCCCTATCCTGTTTGAAGTACAATTTCCAATCAAAACTCTAATACAAGTTCTTTCAGGATTTGTATCAAGCCATTCTATATATAACTATTGCTGAAACCCTAATGTTCACATATCACATTATCACTTCTCTACAACCAAACATAATCAATTTGCACGTAAAACAAAGACAGAAAAGAGATTGCTGTGAAGAAAACACCGAAGATGACTAAGAGAAAGCATGAAGAACTTGAGCAGGAGGGCCTGTATGGTCACAGAAGGAAATGATTCAGAGGTCCGATGATCGGAAAAGGAACTTTTGGGTCGGTTTATTTGGCCACTTCGAAGAAACCCAAGGTGAGACTCACCCACTCTCCGGCATAGATTGCCGTGAAGTCCGCAGAGATTTTCGACTCCGGTACACTTCAGCAGGAGAGAATGGTCCTTTACAATCTCCAAAGATGCCCATACATCCACCGGTGCAACAGTTTGGAGATTACTTCTGGCGAGAGAGGTGAGATGGTTTATAACCTCTTGTTGGAGTCCGGTTCCGCCGGAACCCTAGCCGATATGATTAGGAAAGCAAGCAGCATTGCATTGCCTGAATTCGACGTCCGGCGGTACACAAGATATATTCTTCTTGGCCTTGAATCTATTCAAAGATATGTTGGAATTACTAAAATAAGAAAATTGCTCAGCAGTCAAAAGGACCAGAAACAGGGCCGTCCAACAAATTTGGAAGTTTCAGACAAGAATATGAAAGTGAGTTCTATTAATAAGTGATAATCTATTTATTTGTACTATTATAAAATGTCAACAAAAATAAAAAAATTTTGTTTGACTATAACTTTAATACAACTACTAATCTCTATACTACCATTTTTTCGTTTAATTTATATATATATATATATATATGTGTGTGTGTGTGTGTGTGTATTATATAAATCTTTAAATGCCTTGATTATTTATATTCATACTTGAATAACAACTGTGTATATTTATTGGCATAAAAAGTAAGTGCATCGATAGTAATAGAAAATAAAAGGTTTTCTTTTGGTACATTTATTCAAGTTTAATGCACTAGGGACCAAATATTCAATGTGCATTGAATATATCATATGCTAAAACTTGAAAATTGACATTTCATCTTTCCATATTCACATTATACACAAAATCATATACATTTAAACCCCACAGGTACCTATATTAAGTATTCAACTAACAAATATTAGTTGGAACTTCAATCATTTCATATTCTCACCTCTTTGTCTAATAGATTATCTTTTAAAAATTCTTATGGTCTAATATTTAGTAGACTTCTGTCCTCTCTCACCGTGCGCTGAAATGAAAAGGTTGCCTTAATAGGTACTGGTTTTCTTTTACTTGATTTGTTTTCTTCAAGAACCTGGTTACCTTTTGTTCTACTTATTATATTTTTTGATTTTTTATGTTTATTTAATTGAGTAACATCCTATTTTTTCAAGTGCTATGCTTGTCTCATGTTTTATTTTTTGTCTTTGCTAATGGTTTATGTTTTATTTAATCACTGAAGATTGCTAATATTTTGGGTTATAAGTCTATTTAATAATGTGACTTAGTGGAGAAAGATGTTAACAAAGACAAGAAATCAAATTTCACCCAGCATGAGTTGTTATATGCATTTGGATTTGTGTTTCTTCCTATCCGTATGGGCCATATCAATCTTTGACACAAACAAACTTCCAACTAAACTAGAACTTCCACCCAGTTAGGGTAACTTAATCAACCATGCTTTTTTACTTTGATTTTTTAACCATAGGATATATGATTCAAAAGTTTTTGAATTTGGAAACTTTAACATTTATACTAACACAATTTTCTAACGAATTTGAGCTAGATATCAAAGGACAAGAAAATTATATGTTGCTATTATTGGTCTAAATAAACTTATGTTACACCTTTCTTAACCCGAAAATTCTACCATGAGGTGAAAGAAAAACGATGACAAAACTTTTTAAACTCAAGAAGTTTAGTTGTTGGTTAGTTGCTGTATAGTGTTTGTCTATGAATATAAACCTTGTGTTTGTTGTATTAGCTTGTAAATCACAATTGAAAAATAGTAGTTGTGCACCGATTATACTTGTCATTGCATTTACAAAACTTTAATTTTTTTATAACAACTTTGTTCAGAATTTTTCAGCTTGTTATTTTTCTACAATTTGTTCTCAATGTAGAGAAATGCATTCAAACCATTGATTGGGAATATTGTTTTACCCTTCCTGTATTAATTTGTAGATATTGAACAAAAGGAAGCCAAGAGACATAGACGTAGATATTAGATATTCAACTCCCACATTCTTAGCTTGCTTCGATAGAGCCAAATATTAATATATCCATAACACAATTGTTCTATCAATTTATATGCGAAATTTATAGGATAACCATTGTTTGGTGTTTAGTTTAGATGACAAAAATCTACTTATGGTTGTTGTATGTTTAGATAGAATTAACATTTATATGTGATGATGGTTTTTGTTTGATAAATGAAAATTTGAATTATAAGACAATATTAATCTATTAATCTAAATTAACCACCTAGCATCTTTAAACATACGAGATAATATAAGTTACAATAAAGCAATATGATTTAGGCCTAATCTTAAAATATATAGTGAATAATGCACATTTTATTTGTCTTGTGGATAATAACTTGCTATGAAGTGAAACACATCATTGGGTACTGTTCTCCATGTGAACAGTTCAAGGTCCTAACAATAAAATTAGTTTTGTTGACATGAAATTATGATTAAAAAAATGTGTCTATATGTTTTGATCATGTTCTCTCTGTTGGTTTATGGAGAAACAGTAAATTGTCTAAAATTGTTATTTTTAGATTAATATTTAGTAATATAAAATGTCAAATTGATACCAGAACAACATTTGAAAATACTATCTTAATCGTGACAAAAGAAACAAGAAATTTTCATTTAAAACTTTTGATGAATACCTACAAGAACACAAAGAAAAAATTGAGGGTTTATCTATAGTACTAATAAAAGTATGTTAATATGAAAATTTTTGATTATTTATTTATTCAAAAAGTTATAAAGACTACTCTATCCTTTCACAATTAAATATCAAAATTATCTATTATCTCCATATATATTTAAATCTTTAAATTAACTCTAACATCTAAATTACCTCTAACATATATTTTAATTATCTATTCTCTCTATATATAAATATAATTTCTATGAAACGTTTTGATTGACTATATTATCTTTAAAAAATACGCATTATTATATTTTTAATAAAGTATTCAAAGAACTTTCAAAACTTTCATCAATCTAATATTACTCATCCCATGTGCAAATATAATATTATCTGCATATATGTTATTTTTTTTTAAAAAGTTTAACCTTTTTATTTCTAAGATAAAAAATAATATATATATATATATATATATATATATATATATATATATATATATAATTTTTAAAATTAATTTATGCTATATCAATATAATTTTTTAGTTTACAATAAACTTTTTTATATTGTATTAATATTTTATGTGAAAATAGTTTATAGTGTATTCTTCAGTAAAACTTACATTTTTTAAAATTTTGATATGTTTTAAAATATATATTATAGAGTGTTATATTAAATCTTATCCTAATTTACCTAACTAATTCTTAATTACAGTAAATTTTCAATATAATTAAGTACTATATTGACAATTACTTTTATTTTATTCAATGAATTATAAGTAAAATCCTAATCGAATGAATTTCCAAAAATTTAATTTTTCAAACATTACTAAAAAAATCACTTTCAATCACAAAATTTTAAAAACAAAAAATAGAACTTTAACTATTTTTTTTATAATTAGAATAACGAATTTCAGAAATATACCAAGTTTTCATAATCCTATAATAGAATATGAGTAATGAAAAATTAAGTTTAATAAATTTGAGATAATATTTAATTCAAATACATATATACTAATATATTATATCAATTTTTATATACGAAAATTATTCACGTACAACGCACGTGGTGGATTGCTAATATGATTAAATAACACTTATATTGATAATCTTTATATTCAAAATGATTCATGTGTAACACACGTGTGTACCAACTAGTTATTAAAATATATTCATTTAAAAGTTATTTTTTTAGCCCAAAAAATTCTGACGCTTGAATCTTGATCGCTATCAATTAATTGATGGTTTGTTGAACTACAAGAAATTATAGAATAGAGAACTTTGGTGTTTTTACTTTGTTCAGATTCAAACTTCACAGAGAGAGAGAGAGAGAGGCATGAGGGAATGGCGTTAAATAGAACTATGGTTTGTGAGAAAGTGAATCCTATAATTTGTGCATGAGAGGTAGAGTGATGTAGAGAGATTTGCTTAATTCCTTCATAGACGAGAGAGAGAGAGAGGGAGAGAGATTATCCTTCCTTGTTGTAGAATTCTAACAGTCTGCTACAACTGGCAAGTGGAGCAATTTTATAAGTAAGTTGTTGAGGTGTTAATGGACTTATCAATTAAATTTGGACCCTCTCAAACTAAAATATATATACCCATAACTAAAAGTCTTAACAGGGGACCCCAAAATTTTGCAAAAATTGGAGGCCCTAGGCATCCAATTAAGTGGTCTAGGCCTAGGGCCGGCCTTGACTAGAAATGAAATGGAAGGAAGTAAAGGAGGATATGAACACTCAAAGAAAAAATAATTTTTATATAAGTTGATTACAATCACACACTCAACTTGGATTCTTCAATTTATACTCAACTCTACTTGCATCTAATACTAGACTATATACCCTATTTATATAGATTATACATACAACTCATACCATTATATGTAGGTACCATTACACCCACTAACTCTTATAACCTCTATAATATTAAGACACCATTACTTAGGGAATTAACACTCACTAATACTCTTGTCTTCCACTGCTTGCATTGTTCTTGCCCATTACTACACATCAAATAAAACACCTTAATAATATAATAAGACACTAAACAAGTTTATTTTCCAACCCCCCTCCCCCCACCCCTAAAACTTAGTTTATCTTCAAAATCACTTTCTTCTTTTACATACTCATTGTACCCAATACTCTTCATGTAAAAAGTCACTTTTGTGTTTGGATCCTACACACTCTATCATCTTCCAAACATGATTTAGAGAACTTGAATCTCTTACAAGTTTCCAAATCTCGGGGTGAATCGTATTCTTAAGAACTTCGAGTGCCTTCTCCTCTTTCTTTTCTCGGATTCATCTAGGCAAGTCATTCCTTGACTTTTCTTCAATCACACTCCATAAATCACATGCTTTGAGATACGAAGGTAGAATACTTTCATTCTCTTGTAATTAAAGAACATCATCTTTTCACACCAAAAATATATATTTGGGGAATCTTCCATGATAATCAATCACGACGATCTATCAAGACTTCAAAGATCGTAATAGCTCTAAAAGTGAGCTATCTAGATTTCCATGATCATAAACTTGGCTTTTATGGAGAGTTATCTAACTTTCAAGATCGAAAGTTGACTCTGAATGAGAGTTATCTTCCAGGATCGGTGTTGGCTCTGATATCAATTTGTTGGAATTAATACAACAAGAAAATTGCTCTGATAACACCTTATTGTAGTCAAGAGGACCAGAAATGAAATGAAAGGAAGTAGAAGAGGATATGAACACTCAAAGAAAAAATAATTTTCATACAAGTTGATTACAATCACACACTCAATTTGGACTCTTCAATTTCTACTCAACTCTACTTGCATCTAACATTAGACTATATACCCTATTTATATAGGTTATACATACAACTCATACCAATATATGTTGGTACTATTACACCCACTAACTCTTGTAAGCTCTATAATATTAAGACACCATTTTAGGGAATTAACACCCACTAATGCTCTTATCTTCCACTACTTGCATATTTCTTGCCCATTACTCAAATTAAAACACCTTAATAATATAATAAAACACTAAATAAGTTTATTTTCCAACAAGATATGGCTATGTTCTAAGAGATTTAAAGTCTGAAAATATCATATTTTTTTCCATTGTTAGTGCTCCAAATAGTGTTAAGTATATGATAAAGATTGGTTATTATGGATCGGCAAAGAAGGATATGAGTTTGAATAAGAGGAGATTCAATCCATATCTGATAGAAAATATAAAATATTTGTCATCAGAAGCAGTGTTTGATGGAAAACAAGAGCCCCCAAGTGATATTTGGGCTCTTGGTTGTCTGGTGGTTGAGATGCTAATTGGGAAGTCTTTGTGGGATGGGAGAAAAGATTTAGAGATTGAGGATATCCTCAATCTCTCATATTGGTATTGATGTCTGAAAGTGATGACAGTGAGAGTGATTATTGGTCAGATGATTCAAGCTTCATATTTGAAGAAGAATGGATCATTAATGGGTCAGAACAGGACAAGGTTATGGAACTTTTCTCTGGGCCAAGAAGAAAGAAAGATGACAATTTAACCCAAGTATCTCCAAGTGCATAGCAACCACAGATTATAGTCCCATCATGAGTTTAACAAAGACGGATTCTGAAATCTCAAGAGTTATTCATTGAAATCTTTCATCATAATTGTATATTATACTTCCCGATGATGATACTGCTTATGCCATATATGCTTGTTTTGTAATTTTGATAGTCGAATATTCAATAACAATTGACTGCTAGTTTGTTGCCATATATACCTTTTTTTCAATTTGTTTAGTAGTTGCTTGGCATTTAGCAAATTTATTTGACTTTCCATTCTCTGCAGTCCATAGCAACTAAATTAACACCTAATTTGTTGGTCTAATTTACTATAACATTTAGATCGACTGTTGACCCTATCAAACATTAGATTTGGTATATTAAATGTTACCAATGTACAATTTTAGAATTTTCATGCATGATCGTACAAGAATCTTTGTCTACATTCTACCAATTAAGTTGCCTCTATTAGCATTTCTGTAACACCTAGTTTTTTGGAATCATTACTCAATTAATCGAACATAATATAACAAAAATATACTTTCAAATATAAAGTCAGAGCTCTAATTATCTCAGTAAAAATTATAATTACAATTTGTTCTCCAAAGACCAATAAAACTTGCAATTTCAATTTAATATAAACTATATCGAGATTTGTCCATCTTCGATTCTTCAAATATTTGATCTGATTTTTTCTTTCCAAATCATCCTAAAAAATATTAAAGTGGGAAGTATACAATAAGGATAAAATATGAATGATCAAATAACAAATAACTCAATCAATAGGCAATCACGAACAACAGAATCAAGAATTAAATTGGATTGCAATGATGGAACTGAAGGTAAGAAGCTAATTAATTTGATTGGCAAATTGATGTTGTTTACTCTGGTTTTTAACATTTGCGTGGAAAGAAATCGAACAATTTTCAGAAACTCGTACAAGGATGTTAAGATTGTTTGTAAGGAGACTGTGGAGGCCATAATGCAGAAACTACACATGAGCAGAGGTATTGGGAGAGCTTCATTAAATATATAGATGTAGAGACAATGGTCCCTACCAGAAATAATTTTTGAACCCCTAAGAAGTTATTGACTTGGGTAAGGCTAGCTTTTGATGCTATGGTTTTACTTGATGGATTTTGATGATGCAAATGATCTCTTCATGCTTGACATACGCTGTTTGGGACTCTCATGCTGAGGCGGTCCTTTTCTAGTCTTTTTCTTGGTGATGATGTGTTCCGATGATGCACTCTTCATGCTTGACATAGGCTGTTCCGATGTTGCTGCTGCTAAAAGCTGGATGGGCAGTCAAGCTTTCTACTTGCTTGGCTGCTGTCCCAAGGTGCTGAAAGGTTTTTTGTCCTCTTGTTATTTCTTTGGATTGATTGTGTTTTATTGATGGAGATAATTGTATTTTTGGGGATGGTAGATTATCTGTCTAATGTGAATATGAATAGATAATTGCGTAATACTATGTTTACCAAATTTTTTTTATCAAATCTCTATCCAAAATGATGTGACACAGTTTTTCACCCTCAGATAAGTAAGTCTCATTAATATTCAATAACGGAGATTATGTCACATCATTTGGGATGGAAGATTTGAAAATTTTGGTAAGAATAGCATTTTCCTAGATAATTTGTCATCCCACTTCACTTTACTTGTTTGCTCCCTTTTGCCATTTTGATATTTACATGTAAGTATCTGTTGAAAATATGAATTATTGATCAATGAAATTCTTATTTACCGAAATTTTTTTTCGACAAATCATGTAGCTACACTACAAATATAACTTCATAATTGGTTCACTTTGATAACACGATAAGTGACACTTGAACATATAAATTCATTTATATTCATATCGAATAATGACATCTTGTAGGGTCATAATTACATCTCACAAAATATGCCACAAGCACACTTTGTACATATACCAATTTTTTTTACATATACCAGTTAACCCCAAAGTATTTAACCTAAAATATATAGGCTCAGCACTAAGGATAGGATCTTTAATCCCAGCATGAGTACGATCTGCATTTTGTGCAGAGGGGCTGCTGAAACACATGCCCACCTATTTTTTGAGTGCACGTATTCCCATAGTGTTTGGCTTCATCTACAGAATTTGCTCAATCAATCTTGGCAACCCAAGACTTGGTTGGTGTTTATTGCTTGGGCTGCTCAGCATTGGAAAAATAGTTCTATTTTGACAGTGTTGCCAAAATTGTGCCTTCAAGCCACTGTGTACTGCCTATGGAGAGAAAGAAACAACAGGTTGTTTAGAAATGAATTTAAAGATCCTAAATCAACTTTGTACAACATTTTTCAAATCATCAGGGAAAGGATGATGTCCTTGAAGTTTAGAAATTCCTATCAGAATCAACAAGTGGCTCTGCAGTGGCAATTACCAGCCCATTGTCTTAACACATGATTCTTTCTGTATAGCAGTCCACTGTTCATGTGGCCTTTTGTCTTCTCTGTTCCTTTGTGTCAGGTTTCTTGCTTTGGCATTGGGTTGCAGAATGCTTGTGGCGATTGCTGCTATTATTGCAAGTATGCTACAGGCAAGTTTTGGTGTAGCAGTACTTGTTCCTGTCCTCTGATCTGAGTTGTCGCCCCCTGTTCCTTTGTGTCTGGATTCTTGTGAGGAGCATCATTGGGAAGCAGTATGCTTATGGCAACAGCTGCTTGCATGATAGTTACAGGCTAGTTTTGGTGTGGTGCACTATTGTTGGAGCGTGGAGTGACATGAAATTGTAGGTTTTTATGTCTTCCACCATCAGACCACAAGAAGCATGGCCAACATGAAGCTCACCTGTAATCTTTTTATTTCCAAAATTTGACCGCAAATAGCATGGCCCTTGCACTTTAATCAAAGATTACACGTTTTTTTATGTTAGTGAGCATCAAGATAATGATGGTGCTGCTTTGCTACTGCATTTGGCTGCTATGGTATCACATGAACCCTTGTTCTTGTGATTGCTTGATGTTTGTTGATGTTGTGCCGTCATGGTTGTTGGTTTGCTTTGGTGGGTTCTGCTGGTGCTGATTTTTGCTACTGCAAATGGCTTACGTTGTTTGTTTGAGTTGGATGAATTGGTTTCATGCTCTGTTTTTGTTTACCAATGTATTCTTGTTAACAATTCTGTGAGAGATACTCTTACTCAAGGTATCTCTTACAAAATTATGTTTTGAGCCTTGAGTTTTTGGGATTTTTGATATTTGTCTTTGAGTCCTACATAATTTCACTGTACATTTTATGAGTGATTACCCTTTGTATTTCTGTTTTATATTAATACATTTTACCTTCCAAAAAATATATATATATAGGCCATCTCAATAAAACTTGCAAAATTTCATATCATCAAAAAATCATTAGGAATATAAATTCTAAAGAATAAAAGGACACCTTTTGTACAAAGATTGAAAGACAAATATATTGTATATTATCTCAAATAACTAAGGGAAATCAATAAATTTGATCACCACTATATCAAAAACAACATATCCCAATTTCATAAAATTTGAGACTAAAATCACCACTCAATTTTAAACCCAAAGCCTTACACACGCTCTCTCTCTTTTATTTCTTCTTCCTTCCTTTTTCCGTGGTTTGCCTAAAATGACTATTTATTGCCAAAAATTTTCCTGACGTCACTTTTGTGATGGCACGTAGTTTCTATCAGAAAGGACAAATGTCTTTGCATTTTCTCTTCTTTGTTTTTAATACCTAAACACTTGTCAACGTATGTCCTATTTTTTTAGTGACCCTTGTCATCTTCATGATTTATGATATACATTCGATATACACTTTTGCATTTATTTATTTAAAATTTTTAAAAATAGCCTTTATATTATAATATGCGCTTTATTCAATGTATTAACGATTAATTATAATACGGGTTGTCACAGTTTATATTTTTTTTTCTTTCTTTTACTCTTTAATGAGTTGTTAGAATATCATCAATAGGGTTTAAGAACTTGAAATGCTTTGTGATGGATAGGGGGTCATATTAGGGTAGATATCATTAGTTGGTGGTATTAGTTTGGTACGGTGAAAAAATGAAGGGCCGAGGAAAGTGGAAGAATGTAAAAAGGGAGAGATGGTTACAACCGTTTATGTTAGGAAGGAAAGGATTGAATGATGGGTCTTTTTTTCGAGAAATTTTTCAGTATGTTTAACACACCATATGACATCATCAATAAAAAATTATACATACCCAATGAATAGTTGTTTTTGTATCAGCTTCTCATTGGGTATACACACCACATAACAATGTCACATAATGTGTTAAACTCATACGCTCTTCCTTTCACCCTCCAAAATTTATGCACACCTATATCAAACCATTTGATCGCCGCCTTGGTTTGAATGGAGGATGAGTTGCCTAAAAGTAGGAAACCATTCAAGTTTTTTGACTTTTGGGAAAGTAATCAAGACTTTCTACCAACTGTATCCAAAGCATGGGCCACCCAAGTTAGGGGATATCCTATGTTTAGAATCTATCAGAAGTTAAAGCTGCTCAAAAAAGATCTAAAGGATCTGAATATAAGAAATTACAATGGTATATGGTAGAGGCAGACTCTTCAAGAAATTCAAAAGGAAGCTGATAGAGATCCTTTGAATATTCAATTATGGGAAAGCAGAAGAGAGAAGGTGAAAACTTATGGTGATCTTAGATTGGGCAGAGGAGAGCTTTTTTCAAGCAGAAATCCAGGATTTAATGGCTAAATTTGGGTGATCAAAATATTGGTTTTTTCTTTAAACATATTAACAAGCAAAGAATTTAGAGGAGGGTAACCACCATTGAGAGAGAGAGAGAAGGGAACCAAGGTGACTAAATTCCAAGAGATTAAGAAAGAAGTGGTGCAATATTACAACCAGTTACTAGTTGTACCTCCTGTCCAGTTTGTTATACATTTGCAATGGGTTACCACTACATTGACAAAAGGGTCTCTTTTGAACAAGCTGCACAAAAGGCCCAAGAGATTACTAGAGAGGAAATTAAACATGTCATGTTCTCAATGAAAGATGGCAAGGGCCCAAGCCCTAATGGCTACTCTGTAGGATTCTTTAAAAAAAAACTTGGCATATAGTTGGCAAGGAAGACACTAATGCCATTTTTTCCTTTTTTGAAACTAGGAAGTTGTTACAAGAAGTGAACTCAACTATTATTGCGTCGATCCCAAAGGTTCCAAATCATGTGAAATTTACTGATTTTAGACCAATATCTAGTTGCAGCATCATTTTTAAGTGTATATCAAAGATTTTGGTTCATAGAATCAAAATTGTACTACCTAAACTGATTGACAAATCTCAAACAGAATTCATCCAAGGTTGGAGGATCTTAGACAACATCCTGCTTTCTCAAGTACTTCTAAGGAATTATCATATTGACAAGTGAAGCCCATCATGTACTTTGAAGGTGGATTTGGTGAAGACCTATGATAATGTAAGGTGGGAGTTTATTTTGGCAGTGATGCAAACTATGAGATTCCCACAACATATGATACACTGGATTAAGAGCTATTTTGAAGGGAAAAAAGGGCCATGACAAGGTGATCCATTGTAACCCTACCTCTTTGTGCTTGCAATGAAAGTTTTCATTGGAATAATGAAGGATGCAGCCAGAAAGGGGAAGCTTTAGTACCATTGGAGGTGTGGCAAAGATAAAATTTCTCATTTATATTTCTCTGATGATGTGTTGATCTTTGGCAAGGATAAGGTTGAATCAATAAGAACCATTAAAAAGGCCCTCCAAATCCCAGTAAAAGTAATATTTTATGTTCAGGGATTAATGCCCCTGTTAAAGTAGAAATAATCCAAGAGTTGGAGCTTCTTGAAGGTGAATTACTAGTTAGATACTTGGGTGGTGTGCCCCTTATTACTACAAAACTAAGGTCAAGTGATTGTCAGCCCTTAATTGAGAAGATTAATGTTATGGTAAGCTCGTGGTACAGTATATTCATTTCTTATTCAGACATATTTAACTCATAAATTCAATTTTATTCTCAATTCAAGTATACTGGTCCTCCTTGTTCATCTTGCCAAAGAGAGTTATAAAAAATGTGGAGCAGATAATGAGAAGATTTATTTGGTTTGTCACTAAGCTTAAGATGAGTGATGCTAAAGTGGCTTGGAGTAATATGTGCCTACCAAAAAAAGAGGAGGGTCTTGGGATCAAAAGTATGAATTACCATAACAAAGCCCCAGTTATGAAACATCTTTGGTTTTGTGATTAACAAATCGAGTAATTCTATTTGGGAAAATTAGGATTCACACATATCTATTAAATGGTAGGAGCTTTTGGAGTGTAAAGAAACCTCAACAATCATCATGGGCTTGGAGGAAAATCATATCTCTGAGATCAGAGTGCTTGCCATTAATCAAGCATAAGATTGGTGATGGTGAATCAACTTTCCTTTGGTTTGACACGTGGCACCGAGTAGTGTCTATTTATCATATAAAATGGGAAACAATCATTAGAGATTTTGAACTTGGGAGACACGCTAAAGTTCGCTAAATCATTTTCAATGGCGATTGGTCTTGGGTCTCTACTAACGAGGATATATTGGAGCTACGAAGAGGTATTTCGCCTGAGATGAAGCCTAACATAGGTCGAAGGGACACTATCCAATGGTTGTCATCTACTACTCATGTGTTTAATTCTAAGTCTGCTTGGGAGATGCTTCGGGAGAAAGGGCAGGTGCAATCCTGGACAAGTATTGTTTGGTATTCAGGGCTAGTTCCTAGGCACAATTTTATCTTGTGAATGGCTGCCCAAGGTAGATTCACTACACAAGATAGGTTAATTTCCTATGGCATTCTTTAGAGTGCTCAATGTGTGTTGTGTAGAAAGGAAGTGGAGACTCATAATCACCTATTCTTTGAATGTTGTTACACCAACAGATTATGGACTTCACTCCAGAGGAAAGGGAATGTCCAATGGCCTATTCTTAACTAGCCATAATTCATTAATCGGTTTTCCACAAACATGAAGGGTAAGGGATTGCACAAGGTGATTGGTAGATTAATGTTTGCTTCTTTTGTTTACTTGATTTGAAGGGAAAGAAAGTGCAAGGTTTTTCAGAATTCCTATATAGATGTGTCTTCCATATATAAACAGATCATGGAGAATATCAAACTAAAGCTTAGTCCCTGCCATAACATCAAAAAAAACATAACTAATACGTGGCTATAGAGACAATGAGGGCTGCCAATGACAATTTTTTATTCCCTTTGAGCTAGTTGTTGGATGGTGACTTGGTGGTCCTATGATCTGATCTGGATTTTCCAAGGCCTCCTAGATTATCTAATGTTGTTGTGCTAGTATTGATACTGCTAAAGTGATTGTCCTGCTGTTTTGTTGCATCCTGCCTATTGATTTGTTATTTGTTATTTTGTATAGGATCTGCTGGTCTATAAGGACCAACTGTTGGTTGTTGTTTTGTTTGCTGGTGCTTTTTGCTTCTATTTGTGTTGGTAATTGTTGTTCTATTTTTTGCCAGTGGCTAGGCGCTGGTTGCTATTTTGGCTTGGTGCTAGTTTTACTTGTTATTGTGCTGGTTGCTAGCTTGTGTTTTGGTTGATTGATGGTTATTG